ATTGAAGCTTTGCTCCCCTATTTAAAGGTAAATCATTGGAGCAACAGGACTTGATACTTGTATACTAGTTAAGCTCTTCGTAATATGTTTGAGCTAGTATAGATGTTTCTCATAGTACAGAGGCATAGTAGCAGCATGTATATAGTGCATTCCATCCCTCGAGGCTTGACGAGAATTCTTTCTTCTTCCTAAGAGTATCAAAGAAGAAAAGATCCCCTAGCATAAAGATTTTGTTTGCCCAAACCTCCCCTTCCTCCCACGACACTCAGCTGATCCCATGCGTGACGCCATATAATAATCTCATGAGTTTAAGGTACAAATCAAAGAGTTCAACTATTGGTCTACTGGAATATAGACCATTACACGGATCCAAAAAGCTATTTTAAGAAATACACAGGACTTTGTAAATGAAGAACATTTGGAGAAGACGTTAGCAACCAAGAGACTACCGATACCATTTCCACGTTAGCAACCAAGAGACTACCGATACCATTTCCAACCATTCATCAAATACCCCTCCCTCCTTCCTTTCTGCACACTTCTATCAATTAGTTTGAAGATGACCTACTTACAAGTGGAGGAAGAAAGGAAATAATGCACAGCAATCTATTATTCCAATTACCCAAATTATACCTCTTCATTATCTACCTAGAGAAAATACTTTACCAAGTACTTTGCACTAATACTCTAATAGAGTACTATAAGCTAACTAAAAATCCAATATATTACCCAAGTGTTACAACTAACCTCTCATCCTTGCCCCTTTAATTCTTTCTCGGGTTCACGAGAAACACAAATATGGAGGCCAATAGATACTGAGATAGCAACAAACTTAACCAACTGATGTCCACATCCCACAAATACTTTGCTGATGAAGCTAGGTCCAAGTTTCATAGCCACTCCATGACTAATACGAGACCGCCTTACATTTTTCCAATGTGAGATAATAGTATAACTTCACAACTTTCATGGGTGTAATTAAATCAGTATGATCCACTCTCACCTAAAACTTGCTCCAACTAATATACTATCAACAAACTAAAGTAGTCAATAATTGTCACCTTTTCAGTTTCAAGCTACACCAAACACTACACATATCGTTGCATAGTAATTTCTACCAACCAAACTAATAGCTAACTACTCATTACATAAACTAAACAAACCAAAAAATTAAATGCACATTTATAACCCAAAAATTCATTAAAAACAATAATTAAAAATGCAAAATTAAAGGTAAAGTATGAAGAACATACAGCATTAGAGGAGTGATTGCCTTGATCAGATTCCAGAAAAGGCCAGAGTCTCTCAAAAACCTCAGGACTTCTATACAAAGAACCAGGCAATCTCGGTTCATCAAGAACAAACCCACCACTATAATCAGAATTTCCCTTTTTAATCTTCAAACCCCCAATTCTTTCTCCTCCCCCAACTTTATTCTCCAAACTCAAAGAACCCATATACAGCAACATCCCAGTAATATACAATACAGGAGCAAACAACAACACCCCTTTTCTTCTAAAAACTGCTGCAATCACAATGCACACCAACCGTTCGACGAAATTCCCAAGCTTCATCGACCCCCCAACTCCTCCCCTTCCGATTCCTGGGCCGGAGATCAGCCCATTGGGCTTCATTCGGGACGGCCGGAATCGGGGGGACGACGGCGGAGAAGACGACGGTGATGATGGGTTGAAATTCGGCCCAAGTCGACTGTAACCGTGCATCAAATCAGGGGAAAGATTGTATCTTTTTATCTTTTTGGGGTGAATGATGAAATACCCAGAAAGATTAACAGGGTATTAATGATGAAATTAAATGGGTTAGCATAATTACCTTTAATGGTGTGAAATATGATGGGTTTTTTAGGTGATTGAGGAGAGAGAAAGTGAAGGTGAGTAACTATGGCGTTTAACAGGAGAGAGAGTGGAAGTCAGAGAGTGAAAAAAGGAAGAAGTAAGGGAGATACAGCGTGTGGGGACAGCCACCGACGAAGCAAGTGGAGTTGAAAGCTAAAAATGATTACTCTGTAAAAAGAGTGATTTTGACAAAAACATAAAAACAAACCATCTTAGATTTTGTAGATTATGATCCTTAATTTGGGTTTTAGAGAACGATAATTAATTATTTAGTATGGATATTATTATTATTATGATTATCATGATTGATTGGTTTATTTGGGTTGATTTGTTAATTTTTTGGGTCAAGATTACTCATTCAACTCTAGTGTTTGGATGTTGGTAAAATTTGTTTCTTGCTTGTGGAGGTAAGATTTCATGAAATATGCATGTATGTTGTTTTTATGTGATGTTGAAATACGTAAAAATTTGGTCTAGTTTGATCGGTTTGATTCTAATTAGATTTTATAAAATGGAGTATAATGGGTGTAATTACGGATAATTAAGTTTGAAATCGCTGGATATGGGCTATTACACGAAAATTGATGGAGCCTTAAAGTAGTTGTTTACAAAGTTGTGCTCGCAAAAGTAGAAAACTTGAAAAATGGAAATTATTGGCATGATCAATTGTAATATTTGAGTAACTTTTAGTAGTTTGACCAATTACTTAATAGAAAAAAATGAGAGATTGACAATGCACTTGTGGAGGGCTTGCTATAACACTCTACCCAAATTTTGACAAGATGACAAGCGGATGTATATAAAGGGACATATAGGCACTCAACCAGGCACCAATATGAGATGAAACTGAGAGCATGAGAACCAAGTATAGTGCATTGTTCACTCTCCATAGACCTAAAAACATCCCAAGACATTTGACTAAAATTGATGCTAAATCTTCAAATTAGGTTGCTCTTTACACGAACCAAACATTATTATAGCTGCTTAAAACATGAGCATTAGGTTGCTCTTTACACGAACCAAACATTATTGTAGCTGCTTAAAACATGAGCATGCTACGTTAGCACGCTGCCGATCATTTCATCCTTGTATAGTCAAGATACATTCTCCATACATGGCTCTTTTGGTTGCACATTTAAAATAAGGGGAAATGCAAAAAGGGAAATTCAAAATACAAGAGAATTTCCATTATTTTTACAAAATATGGGAAATAAATTATCCCTCTTGATAATTTTAATTTCCCATAAATATTAATCACACCGAACGATGCGTGATTTTGTCATGCATTCATAACTTAATACAATTTTAAGCAATATATTAATTAGTTAAACGTCCCGGGGCGCTTGTTAGCAAGATCCATTTCTAGGGGTGTCCGTTCGATTTTCGGTTTGGATTTAGGCCAAATCCAATCCGATCCGAAATATAATTCGGTTTTCAATTTTTCAATCCGATCCGATCCGAATTACTCTCTCGATCCAATCCGAATTAAAGTTCGGTTATTTGGACCCGGTCCGAAAATCCGAATTAAAGTACGTTAATTTATAGCGTCTAATAGACTAGTACGAGAATATAAAAATAAGAATGCAATTATAAAAATAATATTTTGTCCAACCCTTAATATTAATACAAATGGAAAATAGTCATAATTAACATAAATTGTTTAACATCAAGTCAAAATAATTGTTCAAAATAACTAGTACAATTAAAAGGCAACACCATTAGTCCATTACAACAATTACTCCATGCACTAAATATCAATAACAAGCCGCAACTTTCAGCAGTTTAAGACTTAAAATAGCAACAACTTCCATAATATACATGCTTAATTCTAAAATTCGATTTTCGGTTTTGTTTGGATCCGATTAGATTCAATCCGATCCGATACGAAAATCCGGATTTTCAAAAAATCTCAATCTGATCCGATCTGATTTAAAATTTGGATCCGATTCAAATTGATGATTTGGTTTGGATTGGATTTTGGTTTTAATCTGAATTATTGACACCCCTATCCATTTCTTAATACCAAATAAACACGATATGAAAATTTCCATGAATTTTATTTGCGAATTATTTATTCATTTATTTATTTTTGAAGAAATGTGGAAATAATTATTATTATTCTTTTTTTGAAGAAATGTGGAAATGCACGATAGAAAAGAAAAAAAAATATTATTTTTTTGGATTAATATCATTTTTTAATCCCAACTTTCACCAATTTATTTTTATTAATCCCAACTTTAAATTATTCCTCAATAATCCCAACTTTGATATGGTCTATCATTCTTCATACCCAAACCGGTCAACGAAAGTCAATGACCTAATTTTCTAGGTCACTTGACACGTGTCAAGCTGTCAGTGGTCCAAAAAAAAAAAAATCAATTAACAAAAAAAGAAAAAAAAAAAAACAAAACCAGCCCACAACCACTGGCGGTGGCCCTTTCCTCCACAACCAACCCTAAACCACTGCCTTCCTAGCCCCAACCCCAAAAACCTCCCCAAAAACCGCACTAACCCCTAAACCAGCCATAGCCAAACCCTTGCGCCGGAACCGTCACCCATAAAACCTGAAACCACCCACAACCAAAGCCCACGTCCCTGAAACCATCCCATCCCCACCCGAAACCACCTGTAAACCCTCGAAATCACCTCCCCCACCCCCGAAACCACCTGTAAACCCTCGAAATCACCGCAGCCCGCTCCCTTTCTCTCTCCTCTAATTGCCGGATAACGCAATCAAGGGGAGTGATGGGAGGGTTTTCGGTGCAAGGAGGGTTTCCGGCAGGTCGGAAAGTGGGGTTGAGGGGTTTCGACAGGTCGGAAAAGTGGGGTGTAGGTCTCTGAGGAAGTGCGGCCACCAGCCACCCGACGCTAGTGGTCTTTGGTTTTTATTTTTTTATTTTTTTTTATTTCCTTGTTTTTTGTTTTTTAATTTAAATTAATCTTTTTGTATATTTTTTAACCAATTAGAGTTCAACACATGTCATATAAATTGTTTTTAAAAAAATTTGACCCTTTCTTCAGGTGACCAGTAAACCGGATCGAAGAAAGAAAATGCAGGTGAAAGTTGGGATTAATAAAAATAAATTGGTGAAAGTTGGGATTAAAAAATGCAATTAATCCTTTTTTTTTTTACGGGATAAAAGGAAAAAAACTTTTGTCTCTCCTTCGTCAAATGAAAAAAAAAAAAAACTGAAAAAAATAAAATAAAAATGGTCTCTCCTCCAAAGTCTAACTAACAACAGAAAAAAAGAAAAAAAACTTAGATTCAGTCGCTGGTGATGATTAACGGTTATAAAATAATTTAATAATTAGATATAATTACAAATGCTCTTTTTCTTCCCTTTTATCACTTTTCCATATTCAATTCAGACAAATTTACGGTCCCAAGGAAATTCAAATCCACTTACTGTGAGTAATCTTCTTAACTTGGCACTATGTTTATAAATTTTTCTTTTGATTTGTATACTGTTTGATTTATATTAAAAATAATCTTAGATATGATTTCACCCAATTTCAATTGGAATAATGTAAACCTAATTCTGAAATGATATTGTTCATTATAGCATGAATTATACAGGGGTTGCGTTGAATCCCATTTCCCAGCTTTGAATTTTTTGGGTATATAATTGTTGATATGGTTGAGATTGATCAAAATTTAATTTCTAAAGATTGGATTTTTTTGTTCGTTGATTAGTGGGGCAGGGTGAGGAGGAGTGATTGATGTTCAACTGGGTTTTGTTTCAGAAAATGGTATTTAATTGATCTGAAATTTATGCTGATTTTTGTTAATGGAAATATAATGACCAGAAAGTTTGGTGGTCACATTGGGTGTCAAATAATGAAATAATGTGCTACACTAAATATTATTTGTGTCTACTTTGTTACTCGGACTGGAATACAAGGGTTGGACATGGTCCCACGGGGTATATTGACTGTTCTATGGACACGGTCACACGGGTTAGTTTGAAGTGTCCATGTACTTGTGTTGTAGTTGTCAATTGTTTAGAATCTAACACGGGTAGTTAATAGGTGAAATAGAGTAAAATTACACAAGTGATCAATGATCAGGTTACGTTAACCGTTCTGTCTGCCCACGGAACTGAGTAATTGTTTTGTTTTCTTTGAATTATCATTCTGGCCTTATATTATGTAGCTTTTTATTCATTTCATCAAGTGAATGGGGAAGATGTCATGGCAAGATTTATGTACATTATAGAGAATTTTTGAAAGCATCATTATCTAGTCATGTACGTGTTACTCTGCAAATCTTAACAGATTTAATAACATCCCTAAAAGAGTTTTTGTAGGCTTGATACAAGTGGTTTGAAACTTTGAAATCTTTATTGGATGAATTTGTAACTGAATTATACTTCGTTTATAAGTTCATCAGATTGGTCAGAAATTCTACAGGTCATATGTTATATCATCATCTTCTAAACTTTAGTCTTTTATTGTTTCAGCCTTTCAGGTGAAGTTGTTGCACCTATGATTAAATTTACATTTGGAATAGTGTGTAAACAATCTAGGGGTACTACAGCTTCTCCCAGACTGAAGAAATTTTTTGTATGATCATTGGTAAAAAAATGATCATTCGTTAAGGATTCAACAAAATATATAATCCAATGCAGGATTTAGCAGGTAAATGCACCTTATTAATTTGTAAATTTCTATGCTGAATGTACTATGAAGAATAAGGTTGGACTTCTTTTTTCTTTGCCAGCCTTTACTTTGAGGAAAATGTATACTTATGCTACTTATACTTGTCAAATGTGTTGGACTCCGGTATGTAATTTGCTTTTTTTTTTTTTTTTTCTTTTTTCCAAGGATCATACCCGTGTCCAACATGAGTATGACCAAGATATGGTGAAGTAGGTGAAGGATCTGAGTTGCAATAGACTGGCATTAAGTAGCATTTTCCTCTACTTTTTCATTCCTTCTAGGTATTCATGTGCATCTTCCAGTATACAATTGAAATTCACGAATCGTGAAGTCTGTTCCTGAAAATAGTGTGCATAAAATGAAGTCTTTTTCATCATTCTTTCTATGAATCCATTGCCAACACATCAAAATTTTTGAGTGTTTAGTACGGAGTACTTTTTTAGTTTATTCAAACTATAAGAAACTAATGTTGGCAGGTCATTTTTACCAATATTCTTGGAATTAGTACTTGTTTGCATTGCTGCTGTCTGTCTGTTTTGTGGTGGTAATGTGTGCTCAAGTACTTGTTATCATTGCAGATATCGAATACCCTATCTTGGCTAGAGTCAGAACACAAATTGAGGTATCACCATTTCTGAAGCTTACACGGAAGCGATGGTGGATGTTAGTGTCAATCAATATTGCCTTTGTTCTTGTAGGCCAAACTGCAGCTGTTTTGCTAGGTAGATTTTACTATGCTGAAGGTGGAACAAGCATGTTTCTAGCAACTATTGTACAAACTGCAGGATTCCCCATACTCTGCATTCCACTGATCCTTATTCCATTACCGCCAAGTTCTTCACCTCCTCCTGATCCACGTACAAAGAAGCACATTGTTTTCATCTATCTTTCTCTTGGTGTACTCCTTGCTGGTAACAATTTGCTTTATGCTGTAGGACTTTTGTTTCTCTCAGCCTCTACCTATTCTCTCATCTGTGCAACACAGCTAGCTTTCAATGCAGTCCTCTCGTACTTCATTAACAATCAAAAGTTCACCCCATTGATCCTGAACTCGGTAGTTATTCTCTCCTTCTCTGCGGCCCTACTAGCTGTGAATGGTGATTCCAATTCACCGGCAGGGGTATCTAAACTGGAATATTCTATTGGTTTTGTATGCACTCTAGGCGCCTCAGCAGTGTATGCCCTTCTTCTGTCTCTGATGCAGCTTTCCTTTCAGAAAGTGTTGAAATCTGAAAGTTTTGCCGTAGTTATGAAGATGCAAATATACACTTCACTCATAGCAACTATTGTTTCAATAGGCGGACTCTTTGCAAGTGGGCAATGGAGGACTTTACACGTAGAGATGGAAAATTTTAACTCAGGACCTCCGTCGTACTTTATGACCTTGGTTTGGACTGCTATATCTTGGCAAATTTGTTCAGTTGGTGTAGTTGGCTTGATCTTTTTGGTATCTTCTCTCTTTTCAAATGTCATTAGTACAGTAGCTCTCACTGCTGCTCCTATTGCATCACTGATAGTTTTCCGTGAAACAATGAATGGAGCAAAGGTAATCGCGATGCTTCTGGCACTATGGGGATTTGCTTCTTATTTGTTTCAGAACTATCTGGATGATAGTAGAACCATGGAAACCCAGAAATCCACAGAAACCGATAGTAGCAATGAGATCCGTAAGGAGTCTTCTTGCGTTGTATCTTTAGCATGAGTAAGCTAGTGGCAACATTCTTTTGGATTTATTCCTTCTGTTTCATGATTTAAGTCACTGATGGAGTATTTGAGTGTAATCTTATTCAGTATTTTTTTTTACTTAATTTTAAATTAATGTAAACAGTGAGTGTCTTGTATAGTTGTATGTTAATGAAACTGAGGGAGTAGATTAAACAGACAATTGTAGTGAGATCCCTAAGGGTTTTATCTTGCTGTATCTGTAACAGAATTGAATGATTGGTAACATTTTTACTTTGTTGATTCAACTTTTGATTGTTAACACTTTATTATCTAAAACTTACCCTTGTCTTATTTTTTTCGAAGTTGAACATATTAGTCCTTATTCTGTTTAAACTTATTGGACCTAGTCAATTTACAATATAGATCATGGTATTTTCATAAAGAATAATTTGTTAGTCAATTTATGATACACATATCCCATCATTAGAGTATTTATTTTCATATATCATTAGTTGATTTACCTTTTTTTTTTTTTTTTTGATAGTGTCGATTTACCATATCAATTATGCATTTAAAAATCATGGCCATAAAAAAAACATTGCATTAAAAAAATGAAGTGCACAAAGAGCTAATTTTTCTTATTACGAAGTACAACACATATATACATATTGAAGTACAAAACAAACAGCCATTTTCCAGACACCCTTGTATTGTATTTTGAACCACAGTGATCCCCTTCTGACATTCCGGCGACTCTGCCAAAGACATATCTCCAGTAGACTTTGTATATGCACGCAACAGAATAATCCACCAAAGTATCTGATTTCCGAACAGGATCATGGAGCAACCCTTTATTCAGACCTACGGACAACTCACTCAACGATCTCTGCCTCGGCTTATCAAGAAGCTTAGAGAGGTCAATCATCCATCTCTGAAATTAAGCAATGAGAGCTCACTTTTCTGAGCCCAACTCCCTCCATTTCAAACTAACACACACCCATTCCGATTGCTCACGGACACGTTTCCTATTTCATAATTTATCCCTCAAATGGGCCATAATCTCTCCCTCTTCTCCACACTTACATATGGTTTCCCTCAACAATCAACACCCAGGAATAATTTAAATAAATTATGTACAACTCTAGTTTAGTTCTTTTTCACCACACAAAATCTCCAAACAATATAAAGCATCATCATCAATTGAAGCAATCTTGTTTGACCCGACCCCTCTCGACCACTCACAGAATTCAGCAAATCCCTCAAATTGTAAACCCAATTCTTTGCAAACCTTAAACATTCTAAGCATGCCATTATAATCCATCTGTTTACGACATTGCAGCAACAAGTTTTAAGTTAATCACATAGATCATTGTAAATGTTTAGCATATCTTCCATTATTGCAGGAACAGCAACAAACACCAAATCTTTATTAAGTATGAATTTTCAAATTCTTGGCTTCTTTTGATTTCACTTTGAGAAATCCCAATTTAGCCCTGAATTTACTGAATCTACACTTGCTGTTTCAATTGCTTTATTCAAATAAAAACTTAATTTTTGAATTAGAGTGGTATCAATTTCTCCATTGAAATCTCCCAATTTCTCAAGAATACAGCTATCATCACATACAAGATTTATTTCCTTCAACCCCAAATCCTCAGAACTTAACAGTTTGTGGTACAAAATTAGGCTCTTTAAAACTAGAGAGGAGTCTTTTGATTTCTTGATGTTTTTGATAACCGATTGGGATGAAGAAACAATAATTTCTTTTGAAATACATTTCTTACCAAGAAATTCTTTGAGAGCATCCAAATCTGCGGTAGATTCCTTCAACAGCTTTCTGAATTTGACTTTCTCCATGATAATGGAACATTTCTCCATTAAAACGGAAGCTTTACTTTTTAAAGCTTGTAAAATAGGCGCCATATTGTGCGAGAGTGTAAAAAGAAATTTTGGAATTGATTGTGAGTTGAAAATGATTTGTCGTGTACTGTGCTAATGGTATAATCGTTATATATAAGTGGAAATAAGTCCTAGCGCAAAGCCGGCATAGGTCAAACTTGTGTAGTTGGGTATTTCGGTCAATTCAATTTTGATTTCTTTTAAATCAAAAGGGTTTTTTATTTGTCATTTTTTTTGTAAGAAAATGTTAGCCGGTTAAATCAAATCAAATTCCGTCAAAGTTTTATATTGGAAGTAAAACTGCCATCTAAGGGTTTTATATTGGAAGTAAACCGATGCTCGATTGAACCCGAGCCTACGTGGATGGTGTTTCGAAAAACTAATTTAATATTGTAGTATATACGAAATTAATTTACGTTTTATCATGTTGTGGAAATTGCTCGGATAAATATTCATGGATTTTTTAGAAAATTAATGTTATGAACTTCAGATGATAAAATTAGGGAATTTTATGAAATTAATACTGTGAATTGTTGATGATAAATTTATGAAATTTTAATGTATGTGTGTTATTACAAGAAAACATGTGATTATCGATGGTTCAAATTGGTCGATATGGAAAAACCATCGGGAACCGCATTACCGACAGCTAACCATAGATAATCGGTAATCCGCTCGTCAATACTTCCCAAGTTACCGATGGAGTTAGCCATTGGTAAGGTAATTATCGACAATTTTGATCGGTGATAGACAAAGCTTTGAAAATTATAAATAACTAAGCCATCGTACACCCAAGGGGGAAAAAAAAAAGAAGAAGAAGAAGAATAGTGTAACCCCTGCCCCCCTCTAAGCCCTAACCTTATCCTCCACTACCTACAAAACTCTACCACCACCCTTTATAACCCCCAACACGAAACTCCATCTCTACTGCCATCTACGACCCCCACCATCTCCTCTCTTTACCCACGAGCGATACCAACTACCACCATCCTATGCAACAAGCAACACCAACACTTTCCACAAACCCCACCCACAAATCCCACAAATTAAACCCAAAAAATATTTGAAACTCAAAAAATTACACACAAAATAAGTAGATCTAAATACTAATTAAACTAAATTAGCTAGAAAAATTCTCTTTGGTAACACTTGGGTATTGCTTGAATGCACATAAAAAAAATGGAGGAATTGAAAATTCATGTGAATTTGGTAAAACATGGGAATTAAATTACCAAGTTCTCTTTGGTAACTCGCAATTTCCTAGGAAATTCAATGTGTAATTTTAATTCCCATGAAATACAAATGCCTACAAGAATTTAATTCCTATGTTCTCTTTTTGTTTTTAGCAAAATCATTACAAAATTACAAATTAACTCAAATTAGTCACTTATATATAATTACAACTTAGCAAGTAAAACCATGCTATTTACCTGAAAACATTCAGAAATGGGTACTCCCTCCTCCTCTTCTAGTTGTCCCCTGATTTTTTTGCGAAACAATAATCGCCATTCAAACATGAACAAATAGTGAAATAGGGAATATATAGATTAAGGGATGCTACCGCATCTCAATTATTAACCGTTGCCTAATCAATACTGTATAATATCAACAAAGTTAATTAATGAAGACTTCAACATTAGTTAAATTCTTGGCCATTGTTAAGATCCTTGGCAGATTTAGTTAGGTACCATACGATCTAACATTACACCACTCTTCAATAAATACGTAGCAATCGGTATCAATGCTACACGGAAAGAAATCAATTCGAACTCATTCAGATTGGAATGGACACACGTAGCTGCCGGAAGTTGATAGTTCTTGCAACATCGATGAAGAGGTAACTACAACCCGCAACAATAAGTATCAACATAACCGGCTGTATTGCTTAGGCAAAGTAAAGTACAGAAACGAAAAAACATTAGCCAAATATACCGTACCTCTATCTCAAGCTTTTTCAAGAAGACGAGGAAGAGCTTTCGCTACATACTTGCCACTATCACATTTCATGTTGACATGTAAACTCAAAACTGACTGAAATAATAATCCAGCATCTGAAAATCAAGATGATTAGAAATCTTCTTTTAAAAACACAAAAAAAATATTTACATTTTTCCACTCACCAGAGAATACTCTCCAAGGACCAGATTTTTTAGGCCAGAGACATTAACTGCAAGACTTTTGAGAAGACCGTGTGCTTTATTATTTTTTCCGAGCAAGTTGAAATTGACAGTTTCAAGATTGGGAACATTTAAGAAAGAGCACTCGAGAGCTTCTTCACCAGAATTGAAAACTCAAAGGTCTTGAAGTTGAAGTTGTTGCAAATTTGGACATTCTTCAATCCTGAGGAAACTCAGACACCGGAAGTTGTTATTGTCTCCAACAAAGTAGAAAGAATGTCCTGCCATTCAATCCCCTCTAGAATAACATTACAAAGATCAAGGGTTGTTAAGTTATGAAATCCAAGTTCATTATTATCAAGCCTCAAAATGCAAGAGTCCAGACACAACTCCTTGAGATAACAGAATCGCGAAAGAAAGGAACTAGTGATAGGATGAAACTCAGGAAACACACAACATCTCCAAGCATCCACGCATATTTGCTATGACACTCTATTATAGGCATACCAGACATTACCCGCCAATCCAAGTCAAGGGAGGACAACTTTCTCCACTTTGTTGATAATGTAGCCATTCTTGCTACATCACGCAATGACAGCATATGAGACGTAACCTTATGTGGAAGCTCACTGATACGATCTTCTTCCCCATCACTCAGTGTCAGAGGAAGCCAAATCTTTCAAACTACCATCAACCTGTTTTTGAATGGTTATGAATTCAAATTTAAACTTCAATTAAATACCATATTACAAGCAGAATGTACCACTTAAACAATAATTTTATACCTTTTTTGCCCTTCCAAAGTCCACATATTCCTTTATCAAATTCATAAAATGCAAAGTGTTACATAAATCATCATTCTTCAACAATAGACAATATATTTCATTCACTTAAGCGGCCTCGCCCTACTATACTTTCTTAGTTACAATGTATTAAGTCTAGGATCATTACTATATTATCTTTTGTGATTAATATATAAGTTAATAAGTATATATATATATAATGGAATCTTATTAGAATCATCTATACTATAAGTTCATAGTATCACTTAAAACTATAGTCACCCTCTAGCAATAGCCAAAATCAAATCACTTAAAAAAAAAACCCTAGCCACCGTCCAGAAATAGCCAAATTAATTACATAGAATCACATTACTCCGTAATAAAAAGCATGACTAGAAGAAACGTAGCATGTAAAAAAAAATTATACTTGTATAACGATGAAAACCTAAGGCAATCTAAGAAACATGGGTAAAAAACATGAATGCATATATAAAAAAAAAATAATAAAAAAAAATTAAAAAAAAAATAAAATCACTATGAATACTTCAAAATAAATTAAATAAAATAGAATAAACTTACAACGGAGAAAGATTTCACGAAACTTGTAGTGCTGCGACGATCTCTGATTCTCTTATCTCTCTAAATTTTTAACCAAGGCTAGTTCTACTTTTATTTATATATAGCGTAGAGTTAAAGTTGCTTTCCGATACCGAATCAAACTAGTTCAATAAATTCCTTTTTGTGTTGGAATTCGGTTAATTAAGGATATGTTTTACTAATTTTATTTTATTAGTTTTGAACTTATTCTAATCTATTCTATGTTTAAAAGCGTGCCTAAAATTGTTAATGTAACAAGTAGATCTGCACTAACATTGCACCACATGTCCACGTCATCATTAACAAGCATTGCGCCACGTCTTACCCAATAATAATTTATGTCATCCATATAAAAAATACATATATCTTTAACTAAGCACAATAATGGATAAGAAAAAAAAATTATGTAGCTTATAAAAAATGAATAAAGAGAATAGCTTTAACAATTCCAAGACAAGGGAAAATTATTCTATCTAAATCCGTTTTTTTGTACTAACATTATGTGTTAAAGTAGCAACCCGTGCAACGGCTGGGTCATACACTAAAAAAAAAAAAAAAACTTATCCTAAAATTCCAATCAATCAATTCAATACATTCATGGAAAGTAATGTTTACTACTCCTCTGTATTTTATTACTTGCTACACTTTCTTTTAGCAGCCACATTTTATTACTTGCTCCATTTCCCTTTTTTTTTGGAAACTTTTAATACAAAGTAATATTTTACTATATTAATATTTTTCATATTTTCTCTCCTCCCCACTTACACTCAATTTTGCTTTTTTAGATTTTTATTTTATTCTTCAACTTACCCCACTTCCATCATATTATATTACTTTCAATTATTCCTCCTAAAACTCCGCGTAAGGAGAAATAAAGCAAGTAATAAAATCATGGTATTGGGTCTGATCAATTTACAATATAGATCATGGTATTTTCATAAAGAATAGTTCGTTAGTCAATTTACATATACATACCCCAAAGAGTATTTTCATAAAATCGTTAGTTGATTTATCATACCGATTATGTATTTAAAAGTCATGCCTGTAGAATTGATCTTGCATTTAAAAAAAATAACGTGCACAAAGAGCTAATTTTCCTTATTATTACGAAGTACAATGGATGACAACATATATAGACAATTAGATATTGAAGTAGAAGACAAACAAAAATTGTAGCAATTTTCCTCTCCTGATATCCATGTATTGCATTTGAACCACAAAGTCTAAAGCAATGGCAGAACCTCTAATTGAACAAGGCTGCTAGGATTTTCTCTGAAATTATCTTAATCCTATGGCCTCCACGGCATCTCCTCCATATCCGGCTTCTCTCTTCGTCGTTGGTTATCCAACATGGAAGAACCAAACTAGTATCCTGTTACAAAATAAAGCAACCATGAGGAATAATAACCATGCTAAACTTTGTGTTTTTGCCGCGACACAAGATTCCGGTAATTGGCAAAGGCCACCCCCTGGTGTTGACACAAGAATTCATTGGGAGAATGATGATGAAGGTTGGGTTGGAGGGACCAGTTCAAATGCTAAACAAGAGCCACTTAAACCTGAAACTGAGCAGAAGAATTTACTTGGTGAAAAATTTTCTGAGCTGCTTTACTCCTCTGATTCTCATTATCAGTAAGTTTATGTAGTGTTACAGGGTTATGTACAAACGTTATGATCTCGACAGCTCTCTAGTCCCAAAACAATAAGCAATTCCTATATACTATAGTTTTGTGTCCTGTAAACTATACTATCTCTAAAGTTTATGCTAATTAATTAGGATTTTCTGTTGTTAATCAGGTTCTTAGGGATACCACCAGATGCTGATTTAGAGGAGATTAAAACAGCTTATAGAAGATTATCAAAAGAATATCACCCAGATACAACTTCACTTCCTCTGAAAACAGCATCAGAGAAGTTCATGAGACTCAGAGAAATCTACAATGTTTTGAGTGATGATGAAAGCCGGAGATTCTATGATTGGACATTAGCTCAAGAGGCAGCTAGTCGTCGAGCAGAAAAGATGAGGATGAAGCTCGAAGATCCTTATGAGCAGGATGTTATGAATTATGAACCAGTCCCGGATATGGTAGATAGGCTTGGTGGGAAGAATTTAGAATTAAGTGACCAAGCAATGAGTGCTCTTACATTTGATGCTATCATACTTGTCTTCTCAATATGTTGCATTGTTTATGCTATATTCTTCAAGGAGTACTAGTAAATGTAAATCCGTATGTATAGATTAATTTTTTCAAATAATGAAGCTTATATAGAGTTGTACAAAAATGTAAGATATTAGTCTTGATTATACAAGGTGGTATGTTATTGTGTTACTGATTAGAGTTCTGATATCGAATGGTTATAGCCTTATAGCCTTGCCTCACTTTAGAATTGTCAATTGATCGAGAGACGAGATCACACTATAACTCTGATGGGAAGTGAGGAAGTCATCAGTAGTGTTAGTTCAGTTTATCAAATATTTTAGAACTTTAGCTTATAACCATGTCAAAATGTACTTCCATATATAGTTCCATCAATAGTCATCATGTCAAAATGATCACTAGCTAATATTAAAACTTGTTGAAATAAAGCGCACCATCTAAACTATGAATGATTATATTGATAAATTAAAACCCCATCAACATTTAAAAAGAGTTACGGAGTTATAGCAAATTTCTAGCTCAAAATTCCCTCAAGAAAAAAAAAAAAAAAGTTCTAGCTCAAAATCCTTCTTTAGCTTCTTCTTCATCTTAGTTTTGATTTATTATACTAAGTACAAAGTTACTTGACAAAATATGATTCAAAATAAAATTCACTTCAAACCTTCATACCAGTAAAAGAATTTGATAATATCAACGACAATAATTTAATCTATGGGTAATATAATCCAACATTGCCTAAGTTAGAATGAAGTATTACCTTTACCTAAACCAATCTCGAACGACACACTTGGACATATTCTTAAATCCACCACCTACAACACGGAACAAAAACTATTTCTTCAAAAAGAATAAAGAGAAATTTTTTATGTCTTACAAACAATATCCTGTATAAGAGGGAGAGATAACTCAGATGCTTAGAGCTTCTTTCCCGATTGCAAGAGATCCTGAGATCGATTCTCATCCCGTCCTTATGAATTAGTATAAATTAAACGAAAACGAACAGGCTCATTGGTGTTGGGTCGAGTTTAAAAAGAAGACTAACCGAGGCCCAAGAAGAAATGAACACTAGGGTATACTAGCGCGTGAGAGATAACCTCTTGGTCCCTTACAGCTTTACTGGGTCTTTGCTTTCTCTTGTGTGCGAGAAGTTTCAGCCATTTTTGTTTTCGATTCTCTCTCCTCATTTCTCTTTCTTTCTCTCTCTTAAGCCATGGCGTTGAACAATGGGTTGCGATCTTGTGCATCAAAGCTCATGAATTCTTCTGGGTCAATCTTATCTAAGCCAGGTTAGTCGGTCTTACATATCTAGGGTTCTTGTAATTTCCCCAATTTGAAGCGAATTAACTCTGAAATTATACAATTTTATTTAGATCTGTTTGATGGGTATTACTCATTTTTTTTTATGTATTTCACACCCTTCTTCGTATTTTATCTCTTTACTTTTGTTGAATCTGGAAATTTGACAACTTTTGATTTATTAGGATATTGAATTGTATCTGTTTGTGATGTATGGTAATTAGATGTTGGATTTCTGTGATTTTCTCTTAAAATTTTCATTTTTTAGAACTTGTAATTGAATGCTGCTTCATTTTGATCATGGCTTTATGCAGCTATATGAATTTCTATTGATCATCAGAATGCAATCCTTTTTTGCTATAATGGCGCATTCGTATTGAGAATCTGTATTACATTTCACAATGGAAATTATATGGGTTAATGGATAGGTGAACTCAGTGTTTATTAATTGATTTGTTTATCTCAATTCTGGCTGTTGAAGGAGTTTAGAATATCAGATATGTGCATATTTTGGAGGTAGGTGAATGAGCTTTGAAGTGTGAATTGGTGTCTCAATCTACTGAGATTATTCAGAGCTGAAAGTGAATGCGCTTTTATGGATGGTTAGACCAAGAATGCGAATGTAAAGTTGGTTGTATTTATCACGGAATAGGTTGTGGTAAAATATGGGGATATAGTGATTCCTGTTCTACCAAGGAATGATTTCGTAACACATATGTTTGGTAAATAAGCAATAGTTGACGGCTTACTTCTAGCTTCTAGCTAAAGTTCAGCGCCTTTTTGGGTGGATTAGAATGATTGGTTAAGTCTTAATTTCTTGATGTAGCCTATTATGCTGATAATTAGGTTAGAACCATATCTGAGATATTATTATAGGGTAAAGAAGTCTGAAGCTATTATTGTTTTTAAAGACAGCTATTCAAGGCTTAGGCAGTTTACGTGGCTGTTCCAATGTCCCATGTATGGGGTTTATCGCAGTATCGTCTCTCTCAAAAAATCCGTTGCTCTCTAGGTGCCACCAATAAGTATACCTAATGTTGGTTGAACAAGGAGGTTGGAGATGCTGTTAGGTTTTATGATGTTAAACCTGTTGGGGATGATTGTATGGCTTTAGATCTTGGATCAATTGGATGTTGTTGGAAGGAGGAAGTTTAGTGTCATTCATTTTTGTCTTCTTGGGGTATTTTCCCACTATAGAATTAATACACGCAATACGCCTTGATATGTGAATTATTCTGAATGCTGCAAAAGGCGGATTTGTACTTTTGAAGCCTGAAGCTGATGCATGATTTTTTATGGGCTGGAGCTGTCTGGTTGTCAGCTTAAAGGCAGATAGAGGTTTGGGTTTTTGGGAGGGTGATTTCAAAGATCATTGCTTCCATGAGTACATGTTGATGGAGGGTTACCCCATGAACCTCGGTCTCTCTAGTATTATGTTATCAAGAGCAAGTATGGATTATGTCGAAAAGGGTGGGATTGTGGAAATAAATTTCGATGGAGTTGCGTCTTCTCAAGATAAACATTGTCAGTATCGTTTTGGGTTAATTCAGTTGGGGCTTTTTGGCTACATCCATTGTAGAGATACAAAGGGTCTGGGTAAATATGGTTTAGGTGTTTCTTTATGATGACATCTTGTCCTCTGCTATATCCTTCTGTTTGAGCTTTAATACAAAGTATGTTATTTTTTTCATAAAAATTAAACAAAAAGCTTTGTACTTGTGAACTACTGCTTCCCGAATGTGGAAGTGAACACCTCCTTCATTGGAGGATTGACCTTTTCCTGAATGCTTTTTAGTGGTGTGCCTTTGGTGGTTATGATGTCAACATGTTTTCAAACTACATTTCAATAGTTCGTAACTTTGTTTTCTTATAAAACTTTGAATTTGTGAGAATTTGTGAGATGGAGCTATTAGGAAGGGAGGGTAGGGGGGGGGGGGTATTAAGTCCAGATACACCTGATTTGCCTCTTGAACCAACGTAGAAGGCTATGAATAATCATGAAACCATGGGATATAATGGCACAAAAGTTGAATATTGTCTAATTTTTAGTCATCCTATTGTAAATTTGTTGTCTTTTAGTCTCTTTTGTTCTCTTAATTTTTGATGGTACAAGAAAGATCCCCAGTTTATCTAAGCTTAGTGATTTTTGTGCTTACAGCAAGCAGAGAATTTCACTCAAGTGGGATGAAAATGATGGGAGGACATGGTCATGATGAGCCATTCTACCTTCATGCAAAACACATGTACAACTTGGACAGGATGAAGCACCAGAAGCTGAAGATGTCCCTTAGTGTATTGGCTGCCTTTAGCATCGGAGTCTTTGTCCCTGTTTATGCAGTCATTTTCCAGCAAAAGAAGACTGCATCTTAACTTCATTTTAGTTCCTTTTTTCCTATATTGTTGGAAGTTATACAGACTACTTGAGTTGGCCTTGTATTGTAAGATCATGATGGCTTTTTTCATCTCACTTTCAGTTTTCTGCTTGGAATCTTACCTTTGCTAGAACTTGGAAAGGTACATTTGACAATAAAATTTTGTAATGATTTCTGCCGAATCAGCTACTATATATCAGTGATTGTTATGGTTGTGGTTCAATGAAGTTCTTCTTGTACATTGCATTTGTAAGATTTCACATTAGCCTTCTATATGCATTTTGGCAAGTTTTCTTCAGTGTTGATGGCACGTCAAAAGATTGTAATGGAACTCAAGATGAGACATAAAATGAGACACATAACCCAAGTTCCCAACACCTCGTTAGGGTGGTGTAATAGCATGAAATATGGTAAGATATATGCTTCGACTACTCTAAAACAGATTACAATGATATGTAATGGCCGACTATTTTGGTATCTCGAAACAAATCCATTTTAAAGCATTCTATTATCATAATTTAACTTCTGCTTTGATCGAAAAGCGAATGCAAATGCAAATGATTGAATATTAAAGCTCAAGTTTGTTGCATTACCATACTGGTTTAATTTTATGACGAGAGCATTTGTCTTCATATTCTAAGATTGATGTGTAAATTGCAAGTACCAACATAAAAAAGGGCACAAAACATAGAGTAACTAAATGCTTCGGAACTTGATTTCAACATGGGGAAGTAACCATTTGATTATGAAATTTGGAGGAAAAAGAAGTTATTTGTGAAACAAGAAGCCAGCAGACACTATTGTACACAACCAGACCTTGCAATCAGTCCTGAGAACGGCAAGAAAATTGCCAAAGAATGAACATCGCCAGAATTACGATAACAATTACTTAGCATCTCTAAGCCTTGTATTTTTTTTCCAATACTACCTCCTACTATTTGCTTAGGCTCAGCACGTCCAAGAGGATGATCGTTTAATCAATGGTTTCATTAGCTTGTCTTCTTCCAAGGAGATCATACCCAAGTGTGAAGGATCTTCTAGCATCATTTTTGCCACGAGGTATCCGGCAATTGACCAAGTTTGGAATTTCCGAGCTTGTTTTCCAATATATCTGCCTTGTTTACCATCATAGTATTCTGGCCAGCCGTCTTTGAGCAAACGGGACTCTGCCAGATCAATAGCTCGTCTTGCAATCTGTGGTCTACCAGTCTTGATGCATGCAGCCGTTAACAACCATAGAAGAACTGCAAGCAGCACAGAAGAAGCGATGGGAAAACAAGAGGAAAGAACATGTATGTTCAAACACAAGGTAGATATAAATGTGATGCAGAGTTGCTAATAATATACTTCATACCAACTATTACATAGAAATGACCAATAACGATATCAGTAAGAAACTTGAGTAATTACTATTTTACTACTATAAGAAATTCTGAGGCTTGTAGAGGCGTCCTGAACCCCGTGCAGGCAGCAATGCAGTCAGGGACTGCTAGCCTGCTACTGAAGTACTACTTCAGATATAATAGAAATCCAGCACAACCTTAACTGAAAATGGACTGGTAATTTGACATCACTATAGGAGAATACCAAGCATTAGCCATTAATTCCAGTTTATTAAACCTCGTTCAACAAGTCAGGACTCACGACAGAGTACTGGTTATTAGCAAAATCACTAAAAGGTACAAAAGAGAAATATTGAATATGTAGGCATGCCTCACACGGAGGGTGATTAAATTGCCAACCTATTCATTTGGTATGTCCTAGTTTATTCTTGTAAAGCAACCTCATGTAGCAGGTCTAAGGGATAATGCAAGTCACCAAAATACGAAGAGAAATTCTTTCTACATAACCATCAAGAAGAAAGCTAAAATAAACAAGAAAAAGGGCAAACCTGGCCAAGATCCTCCATTGTGGTAGCTCCATCTGGTATTCTTGGGATCACATCCTGTGACAATCCGCCATTCATGACTTTCTATGGCAGGATAAGAGATTTTTAGAGGCATTTCTCCCACCAACTCTTCCCAACGCTCTTCAATGAGATCCATAATAGCCATAGATTGCTCTGGAGTTGCAAGAGAACAAAGGATGGCTACACAATTGCCCAACGCAAACCATCGGAAATCCATCCTTGCTGGACTGACGTTTCCAATAAAGTAACCACCACGTGTAGGCATGAAATCAAAAACCCAATCTGGTATTGAATCGGGAATGACATTAAACTTATTCACAGCTGTATGAGAATATTCTTCTGTTTTGTAGCGGTAGACATCATTTAGTTGACGGAAATCAAGCCAAAAATAGTTTCTTATGTGAAAGCTCAACGCATGCAACCGCTTCACTATTCTTTCAATAAATTCCTTCCCTTCTCCATCATGTTTAAGCATAGCCAAAGCACATCTCAGTGACATGAAGAAAAGCGATTGAATTTCAATAGGATAGCCATAAATTCCCTGGAAGATGATCAGGTCTCAGAATATGAATGTGGATATTGTGTCATACAGCACAATTTTAAAAGTTTAAAATATGATGAAACTAAAAGCACAATTCTCAAGTCGTATTAGCATGTACTTTGATGGGTACCGAGTATTTTTCATATAAAACATATGTATTGAAAACTATGTGAGATAAAAGGTCAAGTTCATGCAAAATCGTGTATAAAATGATGCATATATGATGGTAGGTCATGAAAACTTATATCATGTTAGTAAAAATAGCTTGGTTTACCTACTTCTATCTGAATCAAAGGTATAGGCAACCTTTATGGCAATTTGATCAACAGATTTTCTTAGGCAACAAATAGTCCGTGGTGATGGAGCCGGCAAAAATGTTACATTAAGAGTGGAGTAATGATGATACACAGGGTGGAATCTTAAACATCAATATAATTAATCAAGAAATCAGAATACAATAAAGATTCAACGACAAAAAAGAAATAGAGTAGCTGGGATAGTTCATATTAAATTTTGAAACTGAAATTCCCTGCATGCATTGGACACATTTCATATGCCAGTAGATCAAGTCAAAGTCAATGCTCTTTTAAAAGGTGTTAAATCCAGTTATAGATCTTTTTTATGATAGCCATAAATATTTTATGATGAGCATCATATGAAAGAGTCATATATTAACAGCAGTAAAGAGTTCATAGATCATCTTACCATTCTTCGATCAATCATTGAGCAACCATCTGCGCAAAGTAGGGTGGGAAATGTGTCGAATCCCTCTGACAAACACAGAGTCATTATAAGCCTCATCCCCTTCTGACATTCCGGCGACTCTGCCAAAGACATATCTCCAGTAGACTTTGTATATGCACGCAACAGAATAATCCACCAGAAACCTGAGTCAACAGGAGCAACCCTTCCGATGGCACTCTCACCAAAGTCCGCAACGACAGTATCTGATTTCCGAACAGGATCATGGAGCACCTTGAAGCTGGCTGGCATTGCCCCTTCCCCGAGCTTAAACCGGTCAACTCTCTTTTCCCAAGCCTGAAGTTGCAGGGTCTTTAACAGGAAATTCTTAACTATATCTGGCTCACCATTCATAAGAAAAGCTAGTGCACTAGGCACAAAATCCCTTACAAACACCTGCAAAACAAAACATCGTCTCAGATTGATGGAATCAAAACAGTAACAGGTAATACGATAATAATTACAGTGATGTGAAATGAGGATACCTGATCATAATTCAAAACTTCCTCTGAAGCATGATCATAAGCAGCAATGGTGCCCACGGGCTGACCTCTAAAGTACACCAAAGATCGTCGAAGAGCTTCCCAAGCTTCGGCAACCATAGGATGTGGCTCAAAAGAGTTCCTAGTCGATGAAGCAGGGGTGTCGAAACCAGACCTTGCTCCAGGAGAGTACATATGTTCAAAGTTCTCTACACTCCCTTTATTCAGACCTACGGACAATTCACTCAACGATCTCTCATCAAATGATCTCTGCCTTTCAATATTGAGCCTCGGCTTATCAAGAAGCTTAGAGAGGTCAAAATCATCCATCTCGGAAATCGAGCAATGAGAGCTCACTTTCCTAAGCCCAACTCCCTCCATTTCTTCTGGTACCGATAATTCAAACAAACACACAGAACCTTCAATAACAACAAAAAGTCCTACAAAAATCCAATTACTTGAAAATCAGAAAATAAGGCAATATATAAGGAAATCAGTGGAAATTCTCCAATAATAAAGACCTAAAATAAGCCCTCCAAATTGGAAATACAAGATCTTCAAAGATTCTTTTATGTTAGCCCCCACTACCCCACATAAATATTATCCACAACCATGAGTCTATGAACACATGTATCATGTCTTCTTCACATATATCTTTATTCTTTTATAAAAATCAACCTAATCCATAAACATACCCCTAGCATACACTATATAACAACTACAAACTCCGAGGATGTCAACTAGCTTAGTTAGTAGTACTCGAGACCCTGGATCAAATCTTGTCTACAACACTATCCTTGAACTTCCTAAAACACCAACAAAAATAACCAAAACAATCTGCATAACATATGCAATTGCCGGAAATTTTATCGAGTATAAACTATATGTAACTCACAAATATCACATTATTACAAAATAAAGCTCCTATAACACAGATTTTGGTTTAAAATAATCAAGCAAATCAGCTAATAAAAGCAGATCCATCAGAAAAACAAAAATATTTAATAAACAAAAAAATAAAAGCTAAAAAATGCACATTAAATCCAGCAGTAAAAAAGTACACTAATAAAAGCCTTAAAATCAAAGCAATAATAATACGAGTAAAAAAAATGATGAAAATACAAGTGTTGGGAAGAGAAAAACATCAGATCTGTAAAGAAAAATGAGAGATCAGAAGAGAGAGAAAGTACCTGAGAAACGGAAAAGTAAACTTTTCCGACAAAATCAACGGTGGAGAAACGGCGACGGCCGCCGGAAAATGGAAATGGACGGCGGAGAAGAGAGAGGATAAAAAGGAGAAGGAAAGGAAAAAAAAGAGCATAGTTAGGTGAAGCAGGGATATATAGTGATAATGGAACAGAAAACTAGGAGAGAGAAAATAATTTTTATTTTTTATTTTTTATTTTTTTTTAGGGAGCAAAAAATATTTCTGAGTGAGTTAAGTGAAGGGAGTGACCGGGAACAGGGGATAGCCGGTGAGAAATGGCGCACGAGGGAAATAAGGGAGACTGGAAGAGTAGGTTGGGGAGACAAAACGACACAGTTTCAGATGGGTTAATCCACTTGGTTTGGT